CGGCGGCCCCGGGTTCCTCCACCACCCCCGGGCCCGTCTCCGGCCTCCCTCGCCCCCCTGCTTCAACTGTGGAGTGGGGGGGGGGGCACTCTCAGGTCAATTGTGTCAACCCCCAATGATGCTACCTCTGCAAGGATCCGGGGCACCCTGCTCTCCTGTGCCCCGATAGACCGGTGTGTCGGAGCTCATGATGTACGACCACGGCATCGAGGGGCTTGGCTTCTTCCACCTCGAGGTCCCTGATGTTCCGCCACCTTCGCCGACCCTCCAGGCGGTCGTCACTGTGGTGGACGGGGTGGCCTCCCCCGAGATGATCGAGGCAGAGCTGAACCACCTCTACCGCCGCCAGTGGGACTGGGCTGTCACCCCCACCGCTGGCCACATCTTCACCGTCGTCTTCCCCGACTCTGTCAGCTATGGCTACGCGACTCGCAGTGGCCGGATCACGCTCGCTCTCAACCAGCTGTTTGTCGACATATCCGAGCCGATCCTTGATGCCCAGGCGGTGGCCGTTCTCGACACCGCTTGGATCCTTGTCGCTGGCCTTCCTGATATTGCGCGGTCTGAGCTCGTCATCCGCCAGATGTCCCGCCTCCTGGGCAAGGTGGTGGTGGTCGATGAGCTCTCGCTGCGCAAGGAGGAGGAGGTCCGGGTCAAGGTCAAGTGCCTCGACTCCTCCAAGCTCCGCACCACCGTCCGAGTTTTCTTCAACGACCAGGGCTTCGACCTCAGGATCTCCCCTGAGCCTCCCAACCACGTCGGCCGCCCCTGCTCCTTGGACGTCGGCCTCCCTGGTGGTAACCTGAGGGCCGACGGAGACTACCGCGGTCATCACCATGCTCGCTCGCACCACTCCGACGACGAGGGGGGGGGGGGTCGGAGGACTCCCGCTCCCCTTCCCCCTCGCCTCTGCCTCCGGCAGCCGGGGGCAAGGGTCGCCAGGCCGCGCCCCTCCAGGCTCTCGGCGGCCCCCCGGTTTCAGCGGTGACTTCCTCCGAGGCGAGTGACATCTCCAGTGTCGGCCTGGTCGTCTGCCCGGCTTCTTCCCCACGCTCTCCCTCATCGGCGGCTCTCGTCACACTGGGTCCGGAGTTGGCCCTCCTCCTGGCTCCCACTCCGGATCCCAGTCTGCTGCAGTCTGAGCCGTTGGCTCCTCCTGAGGTGGCTGTAGCCCCGGTGGCCGACGCCCACCCTCCGGCGTCCCCCCCCCGCGGCCGCTCAGCCTCCTCTCCCCGAGGCTCTCCCGCCTCTGCTGCTCCCTCCCTTGGCTCCGACCCCGACACCGACCCTCCTCAGCTGCGCCGGGCCCGCTCTTCTGGACTCTCCCGCTGGGGCCCTGACCACGGATGGGGAGGCCAGGGTGACCACTCCCGTGGCCGCCCAGCCACCTACTCCTCGGTCAGCTGCCTACTCTCGCCGTGGCCGGTCGGCCTCCTCCCCGATGACTGCGTCTCGTCGGAGTGCTCGGCTAGATGCTGCTCATCCCGAGGGTAGTCCGGCTCTGCCCATCTCAGAGCGGGCGGAGATCCGGGCTTCTGCGCGGAACCTGGAGCCAGGTACGCCCGCCGTCCCCCCTCGGCTTCATCTTGCTCCTTCTCTGCTCTCGAGTCGATCCCTCTTGGCAACCTTGCGAAGGTGGCCTCAGACTCTGCGATCATTTTTCGTGGGGAATCCGGTCCCCCCTTAGTCCAGATTGCGGCGATCCGCGCCGGTGAGATCCTGGATGGGAGGCTCGCGGAGGCCCGTGCGGCTATCCTCTTGCCCCTTGTCCCTCCCTCTTCCGGGGAGAACACCCTCCCGGCGGCGCCGCAGCAGATTGGTGCCCCTCCCCTGGTGGGAGGGGCCAAAATCTGGGGCCGCACCCGCTCTCGCACTGCGGCTCTCCGTGCCCAAAGTGCCTCTCACGTTCTGGGGTCAAGCAGCCCCCCAATGGCACCTTAATGCGTGCTCTGTTCTGGAACATCCGCGGTTTTGGCTATGATGGCCGACGCCGCCAACTCATCGAATACATGCGTGATGAACACATTGACATTGTTGCCATCCAGGAAACCATGCGTCTTGAATTCTCGCTTCCTGAGCTTGACCGTTTGAGCTCCCACCTCTTTGCGTGGCATTGCCTCCCTTCTAGTGGGAGCGCCGGCCACTCGGGTGGCATCCTTTTAGGCGTAAAGGATGCCACCTTTGAGGTGGGCAGCATGGACCGGGGGGAGTTCTTCGTGAGCATGGAGC